AGATGTTCTCAGCCATAAAACTTACTTATCAGGGGGCCAGATGTTCTCAGCCATAAAACTTACTTATCAGGGGGCCAGATGTTCTCAGCCATAAAACTTACTTATCAGGGGGCCAGATGTTCTCAGCCATAAAACTTACTTATCAGGGGGCCAGATGTTCTCAGCCATAAAACTTACTTATCAGGGGGCCAGATGTTCTCAGCCATAAAACTTACTTATCAGGGGGCCAGATGTTCTCAGCCATAAAACTTACTTATCAGGGGGCCAGATGTTCTCAGCCATAAAACTTACTTATCAGGGGGGCCAGATGTCTCAGCCATAAAACTTACTTATCAGGGAGTTGGAATTCCTGACCGGTACGTGACCTGCCTGAGAGACTTCATGGCTCTTGGCTTTTATAATTTTTAACCTTTTTTTCAGTAGGATGAATTACAGTGGAATCCAGGGTGGGTCCTGTCACCAGGGTGGGTCCCAGGGTGGCCCTTACCCCCATACTGAGCTCCATTACTGTGGCGGGCCCTACCACCATTCTGAGTCCTACCATCTTAGTGGGTTACACCCCCATAGTGGGTCCCACTACCAAACCGAGTCCTTCCACCATGGCAAACATCACCACCTTGGTGGGCATCACTTTCACAGTGGGCCCTATCACCATCCAGATACTTTATCCCATCTTCCTTCTGGTGGGTTCTACAACCAAAAGGAGGCTTCCCAGAACAGTAGGTCCCATTATGGTGATATGTCTCACCATCATGGTCTGTCCCACCATCGTGGTATGCCTCACCATCAAACTGAGTTTCATCATCAAGCCCACCACTATGGCAGGCAACACCATCTTGACCACCAATACCAAAGACATACTCATTATGGAGATAACCTTTCCTCTGAGGGGTCCTACCACCATGGAAGATCTCATGTCCATGGTGATCACCACCCCCGTGAATATCACCATGGTAAGCACCACTATCACAGAGATCACCACCACGCCTCGGAGCACCTCCACCACAGAGAGCACTACTACAGGGAACACCATCGGAGCACCTCCCCATACTCTAGCCCATACAAGTCCCACAGTATACTCGGCGCCTCACCTTCTCAGCCAGAAGCCAAAGGCTCGGGCTACAGTGTGTCTCAGGCTCACGTGGCAAGCCGTTCCCAAGGCTCTCATGGTTCCAGCAAAATTTTTCCCCAGGAGGGCACCAAAGAATCAGAATCCTGGTCTGAAAATGAACAAATTCAGAAGCGTAAAAATGAGTCTTTACTGGGTCCCTTCACCCCAGCTCCCACTGCCTGGCCCTGATTCATCCAGACCTAGCCCAGATCCGACACTGGCCTTCCACACATCAGGAAGCTCAGTCCTCACTTGCACGTGCATTCCATCAGCCCGGTTCACTCTTTTGGCTGTCCTTAAATTTTATTCCTCTGGCTGGGCGTGTTGGCACACACCTTTGATCTCTGAAGAGGCAGGCAGATTTCTGTGAGTTTAAGGACAGCCTGGTCTACATAGCAAGTTCCAGGTCAGCTGGGGCTACAAGGAGATCTTGTCTCAAAAAAAAAAAAAGAAAGAAAGAAAAGAAAAAGAAAAAGAAATTATACCTCTGAACACGCCTTCATTGGATCACAGCTTTATTCATTTACATATTCACTTACCAACAATGGAGGCTCTTGTTAAATGTGGATGCCGAGTCTCCCTGGGCCCTGGCAGTAGAGTCTCTAAATCTCTAGAATCTAGCACAGTCTCTGCATTCAAGGGGTCCAAAACTAGGGGTGCCCATTTAGCCAAGCACAGGTCAGCCAATGGTAGGACCTGCCCTGTCATCATCCACATCACAACATTTGCCTCAGTGGAGGCTTTGGGTCCACATTTGTCCTGCTAAACTCTGAGCTGCTGAGGACACAGCCTGGGAACTAGTGCTTGAATGAGAAACTTACTGGAAGGCAAGAAGGGGTCTTGACTGTGATTCTCTCCCTGACTTAGTTCCTAGTAGTGCAGTAAACATGGTGACAGTTTCATGAACAATCAAAGAGGGGCAAATGTCTTATTAGATGGGAAAAAGAAAAACAGAAAGAAGGGATGTTTGAACAGAATCTTTTTCCTTCTTTTTTTTTTTTTTTTTTTTTTGAGACAGGGTCTCCCTGTAGCCCCAGCTGGCCTGGAACTTGTTCTGTAGACCAGGCTGGCCTGGAACTCAAAGAGATTCACCTGCTTCTGCCTCCTGAGTGCTGAAATTAAGGGAATGCACCACCATGCCTGGCTCTAGAAGGATCTTAAAAAAGAGAGAAAGAGAATGGGATGGTAACAATAAATAGTTTAGGGGCTGGTTCAACCATTAGGAGCACTTGCCACTTTTGCAGAGGACCCAGATTCAGTTCCCAGCATCCACATGGTAGATAATAACCATCTGTAATTCCAGTTCCGGGGGAATCCAACACCCTTTTCTGGCCTCCATGGTCATTGCATACATGTGGTGCACTTACATACATGCAAGCAAAACACTCTTAAAATAAAAGTAAATAAAATATTTTTAAAGGATTAGCTTTACCTTAAGTTGCATATGATGAATATGGAGTTGTAAGGTAAGGCAGGAACCCTCAGGATTTGCCAAACCCAATCCCAAACCACTTGGCTCCTAATGTAGAGGGTATCAGGACTGTGGCCCCAAGACAAGCACAGGGCAAGCATAGAGGCACATTAGTTGGTAGACAGCAGGAGAGAAAGAAATGAACCTTCATCTGTCTCGGAGGGTGTCTTGGATCACTGCATCCCAATACTACCTGCACAGACATGACTTTCTGACCCCCTTACAGGGACCCAACGGGCCCACAAGAAACTACACTCTGGGAACTTTTTGCAGTGGATCTGGGAAAAAATAACCCATCTCTTTTGGAGTCTCCGGTTAATGATGCTGGAACTGACCCAGTCACTGACCTTTGAGACGTTCATCTTCCTCGTGGTCTGCCTCAACACTGTCATGCTTATAGCCCAGACCTTCACTGAACTGGAGATCCGGGGTGGTAAGAGTCAGAAAGCCCTGTTCCTAACACAGAAGGCAAATGATGTGGTTTCAGGGGGCCTCCTATGAGTCTGATCCAGTGCCAGGAGACATATAACTTATCTCATTTGATCTTCACCCCTGAGAACTTGGTGACAATCCCAGAGTTAGAAATATTGCTAAGGTCTTACAAAAGCCGCTGAACTGTAGGCTAGGATGCTGATGGATGAAGCCACCAGATGGCGCATATACTCTAAATAGGTAGCTCTGGGTGGGCAAGGACCTAGGCATACTGGGTTTAAGGGGAAAGCCAGGAGACCTCTAGGAGGAGGCCCTGGAAGGTAAAAGTAGAGAAAGGCTGAGAATGTTGGTCTCTGAAGCTCAGCAGAGCCAGGTGACAGAAAAGATTCACTACATCCTCTTTGTTCCCAGGCTCTAGGCTATGTACACGTCAGATGCATTTAATGTTTATAAACAACTCTACCAAGCAGACTGTTATGCCCATTTTACAGACATGAAAACTCAAGAACAGAGTGGTTAAGTCACACAGCCATTTAAGACAGAGCCAGGGATAGCCTTGATGTTTGGGTCTGCATGAGGGTCCACCGATAAAGGGGAGAAAGGGGAGGCACCCAGCATGTTGGGGAAGCCCTGAGCCATCCTCTGATGTCCCCACAGAATGGTACTTCATGAGCATGGACTCCATTTTCCTCTGCATCTACATACTTGAAGCCCTGCTTAAACTAATTGCTTGGGGCCTGAAGTATTTCTACGACCCATGGAACAATCTGGGTGAGTGGGGTTAGGGCTAGGGTGGAGGTTGGGGTGTGGATAGTGAACTGCTTGGGGGAAGCTAAGGACAGAAGTCGGATGGGAGGTGGGGTGCTGGCCTCTGGGTCTGGGCAAGGGGTCTGGCCTGCCCCTACCCAACACAAGCACCCCTCTACTCAGACTTCTTCATCATGATCATGGCAGTGCTGGACTTTGTGCTCCTTCAGATCAATTCCCTCTCCTATTCCTTCTACAACCACAGCCTCTACCGGATCCTCAAAGTTTTCAAGAGCATGCGGGCCCTGAGGGCCATCCGGGTCCTGAGGAGGCTCAGGTCAGCACAGCTAAGGCTGCTCACCTGATGTAGACTCTAAAAGAAGGGGTTACCTGGCCCTGGGTTTCCAAGAAATCCACTGTAACCTGCTTCAGAGATGGTGGTGGCTATTGGGCACAGATCTCTACCTACATTGGACTAATTCCGACTCCCTTTCCACCACTGTCCACAGCATTCTGACCAGCCTCCAGGAAGTGACGGGGACGCTGAGTGGATCTTTGCCTTCCATCATAGCCATCCTCACCCTCATGTTTACTTGCCTCTGTATCCTAAGCAGAGGAGGCAGGGTTGGGAGAGAGGAGGTGGGGCAGATGGGAGGGAGGAGGAATGGAGTGGTGCAGGTGGGACTGGAAGGGGCTGAGCAGGACTCAGATATCATGGTAGGGGATCAGAATCTTGTTTGGTCCTGAACCTGGGGCTAAGTCCTCTTCTCTGTGGTCCTCCGGGCACTGTTCCGCAAATCAGATCCCAAGCGCTTCCAGAACATCTTTACCACCCTCTTCACCCTATTCACCATGCTCACCCTGGACGACTGGTCCCTCATCTACATGGACAGCAGGGCCCAGGGTGGGCAGAGGTCAGGGACCAGGGTGTGTTGGGCAGACTGAAGGCTCAGCTACCCATCTGCCCTGTGGGGATGGGAGCTGGGGGAATCCCTCTTGATTGATGCCTTCCCACAGGAGCCTGGTACATCATCCCCATCCTCATGATTTACATCATCATCCAATACTTCATCTTCCTCAAGTGAGAATCCCCTCTGCTTCCCAGCTTCATGGCTGGCAGGCTTCCCACCTAATCCCCATGAGCACCCAAGCCCCTGAGCCCTTAGTCACACAACACTGAATTCAGAAGGTAGTACTGGGGCCTCCCCTCTGTCATCCCCTTTAAGAGTCCCTCCTGCTGTCCCCTCCCGCAGCCTGGTGATTGCTGTCCTGGTAGATAACTTCCAGATGGCCCTGCTCAAACGTTTAGAGAAAGTGAAGCTGGAGGTACCAAACACAAGGGGAGAGGACAGGGGTGGTAGAGTCCTCCAGGGATGGGGGCACAGGAAGGAACTCTGGTGGAACTGAGTGGTTTTTTTTAGAAAGCTGCCCGGGTCCATGAGAAGCTGCTGGACGACTCTTTGACAGAGCTCAGCCAAGCAGGTACTGGCCAGTTCCCTCTCCTTCTACCCGGCCACCCCTCCAGAGTAGCCAGGCACAAAACCACAGGCTGCTTCAGAGCTGTAGAGGCTGTGATAGTGAATTTTCAAGTCTAGAACTTTGGATGGAAGGGTTCTAGAACAATCCTCTAAAAACTAACTAAATTAATCATAAATTCTTGACATACCTATTTGCAAAACAACTAATTAGTCAAATGATTCGTCAAACTGCCATTTCTCTGAAAAACTTACAAAGTTTGAGACTGGAGTGATGACTCAGGGATTAAAAGCACTGACTGCTCTTGCAGAGGACGTGAGTTCCCAGCACCCACATGGCAGGTAACATCCGTCCATAACTCCAGTTCCAGGGGCTCCGACGCCCTCTTCTGACCTCTACAGGCATTGCATGACACAGGTGCACTTACATACATGCAGGCAATACACTAATACACATAAAATAAAAATTATGAATAAAATATTTAAGCCGGGCATGGTGGCGCATGCCTTTAATCCCAGCACTTGGGAGGCAGAGACAGGTGGATCTCTGTGAGTTCAAGGCCAGCCTGGTCTACATATTGAGTTCCAGGACAGCTGGTGCTACAGGGAGACCCTGTCTCAAAAAAAAAAAAATTTAAAAATTAAAAAAACAAAAGTCATAGCAGTTGGTCTCCCATGAGATGCTTGTGGTTGCCTTTAGTCTTGTCCATGGATAGACACACTTGTCCAGAGTCATTCAACATGGACTGAAACGACAAAAATAAAGTTTCCTGTGTGTTTCTATTTTCACACCTAACTTTCTGAATGTATTGATTGATTCTGAGCCAGATAGTTTGCTCAAACCTCAAAACTTTAGAATCTGAGCCAGGTGTGGTGATTCGTGTCTGTAATCCAGTACTTGGGAAGTGGAGGCAGGAAGATCAGAAGTTCCAGGTTCCCCTGGACTATAAAATATAAGCGACTGTCTTACCAGGCATGGTGGCCCCTACCTTTAATCCCAGCACTCCGGAGGCAGAGGCAGGCGGATCTCTGTGAGTTCAAGGCCAGCCAAGTCTACATAGCTAGCTACAGGTCTGCTGGGGCTACAGGGAGACCCTGTCTCAAAAAGACCAAAAGAAGAAAGAAAAAAGATGCTCTGTCTGGAGGGGTGGGGGGGCACTACTAGATGACTCAGCAGATTAAGGTGCTTGCCACAAAGCCTGACAACCTGTTTGAGTCCCCATACCCACATTGTAAAAAGAGAGAACAGACTTCTGCTAGTTATCCTCTGGCACCCACATGTGCCCTGCACACAAACATACACACATTCAGACACACACACACACACACACACACACACACACACACACACACAATCTTTTTAAAGGAAGGAAAGAAGAAAAATAACATTCGGATCTGAGCTCCAGCTGGTAAGATGGCTCAGCTGGTAAAGGTGCTTGCCGCCAAGCCTGACGTCCTGAGTTCAATTCCTGGACCCACATGAACCTCTTCTCCCAGCAGTTGGGAGGAACTACCAGAAATGAGCCTCCTTTCTGATTGACTCACATTCTTGTTTTGAACCAGTCACTCTAGGCTGTGATTGGCCAGACTGAAGGAACATGTTCTTAGAACCAAGTGAGGGTGCGGGGCGGAATCCAAGCTAGACAACTTAGACTGAATCAGGTGAGGTGGCTGTTCAGCAAACTGGACCACTTTTGCCAGAAGACGTATAAGGCTGAGGTAGAGCTCAGGCAGAGCCCTTGCCTAGTATGTGGGAGACCCTGGGTTCCATCCATCCCTAGCACCACAAATATTAATAAAATAATAATAACTAACAATAAATGAAGAAATGAATGCAAAAGAAAGACCTCTACCATGTTTCCTGATTTGTAGGGTTCGCTCACCCTCTTCAATCCATGCATATTCTTGAAACACCCCCTCCCATGCCCTATTCTCTTCACCCAGACCCCGAGGCTGTCATGAGTGAGGATGCTTTGCAGATGCAGTTCGTCGAGAGAAAGTTCGGCACCATGACAGAGAAGTAAGGAGACTGAGGAAAGAGGAGCCTCAGGTCCAGGGCAGGAAGTCTGGGAACCTGATGGTCAGGTGGGGAGGGAAAAGGACACTGCCTGTCTCTCTGGGGAACAGCACTCAAGGCTTGTGTCTGTACCTGTGAATAAGCATAGAGACCTTGAGCAACCCTGGACAGAGAGGAGCAGAACCCAGCTTTTGAGAAGGACCAGAGCTGGCTGCTCACCAAAGGACCTCTCATTATTCAAGACGTATCCTGATCCTTGTCAGAGCCAGACATGAGGGCTCCAGGGACCCAAAGAGAATTCAGATTCTGTTCCAGACACTCAGGTCCCCATCACTAAAATCCGTGCTAGGCCATGTAGGTTGACAGATTTCAGCCATGGGGAAGGATGAGGAGGGACTGGGGACAACAGCTTGGACAAAGCTTGGAGGTCATATGGTCAACCCTCATCCCTGACCACCCCTGGTCAGGCCAGCTGAAGACTTGCACTCATGATTGGGTCCTTGGTGCAAGCTGCTTGGCTTGGGCCTTGTCTGCTGACCAATATATCAGGCCTGAAAGCCAACATCCTCTGAACTCTGCCCACCATGAGGGAATCTAAGAGCTGCGGCTTGGCATTCAGGGTCCTGTGTGATCAGACTAGTGCCAACATCCCTTGTATCATCACAGTTACTACCACCCAAGGCATAACCCTGCTTTGCCCACAATCTTTCCTAAGCCAGTACATACTTTTCTACCTCCGGGCCTCTGCCTACGCTCTTATTTCTGCTTGGCTTATTGATGCCAGCCTCAGATGACCAGTAGTTGAGCCAATTCCAATTCTGGCCCTTGTCACCTCCTGGATCATTCTATTTATCTTACATGTTCCAAGACCTGAGCCACCACTGGGGCCTGCCATACTTCCTTCGGGGGTATGGTCCCCACAGGTCCCCTCCACTGCAAGTGTCTTTCAGTATAGCTTTGTCTTTTCACTCTCCCTTGACTTTAAGCCCCTTCCCCCTTTGGATACAATCCAGACACCTTCATCTGACAAGGGTCCTCAGCACTCTGTTGGAACTTATGTTTTAGTGGCCGTCTGGCTCCGAGGATGACACCTCTTTTTGTTCATCCTTGGAGCACCTTGCTTGCTGTTCCCAGTGTAGTTGGCAAATAGATCGGTAAGATCCACTGGGCAGATGGATGCTGTTTAGAATGAGTGGGTGGATCCAGGGAAGAACACATGGGTGGAGGGGTGGGTGAGTATGGAAAGGCGGAAGTGGTTGGACAAGTGAGTGAATGAATGGGTGCATGGATGGGTAGGCAGATGGGTGAGTGGGTTCATGGAGAGGCTTGGGTGGAAGAAAAGACAGGCAAGTGTGTGGGAAAATAGGAAGATGGGGATATGGGTGATTGAGAGATAAGCCATTGCTGTAACCTCCATGGTACAGATAGGTGTGAATCTTTCAGGTATTAGAAAACAGACAGGTAGGGCATGATGGTAATCCTAGCTCCTTGGGGCCTGAGGCAGGAAGATCCCAAGTTCAAAGCCAGCCCGGGCAATCCAATGATAATTCATCTCAAAATAAAACTTTTAGAGGCAGGAGAGATGGCCCATCTGTAAAGTGCTTGCCAGGCAAGCATGAAGACCTGAGTTCGAATCCCCAGAATCCATGTAAAAAGCTAGGTGTTGGAGGTGTACTCCTGTAAGCCCAGTGCTGAGGAGGTAGAAATAGGGAGACCCCTGGGGTTTGCTGGCCAGACAGTCTAGCCAATCAGAGAGCTCCAGATTCATTGAGAGGCAGTGTCTCAAAAACTAAGGTAGAGAACGATTGGAGAAGACATCCCATCCATTGACCTCTGGCCTCCACATGCACCCACACATGTACCCACACATACACAAAATAAATAAAAATAATTTATCAAAGGAGACATAGTAGAGATAGAGGTCTAGTATGTTTCCAGGGGAGACAGACAAGAAGAATCATGTTGGGGCTCTGGGAGCCCAGAGGGTGCCCCAGTCCTTGCCTCTGCCTTGAATTCCAGACAGCGGAAGCTCCACTTCCAGTTCCTACAGCTGGTGGCCTCAGTGGAGCAGCATCAGCAGAAGTTCCGTTCCCAAGCATGTGTCATTGATGAGATTGTGGACACTGTATTTGAGGTAAACCAGGAAGGGCGGGTTAGGGAGAGGAAGAAGGAGGACCTTGGGGGCTACTGACCAAAAGTGGCTTTGAGTAACAGTCACATGGCATTGGCAGAGGATAGCCCTGGTTCATACCCCTCCTTCCATCCCACCCCACAGGCTAGAGAAGAGGACTTCAGGAAGTGACTCTGGAGAGCACCACTGTATTGACTTGAACCTCTGGCAAGCTGCCCACCGGGAAGGGTCGGGACAAGTCCCTAACTTTCCTGGCATGATTGTCTGGACCCTGCTAGGCTGGGGTCCCAACAAAGTTTTAAAAACTGTAGGCAACTCTGTGTCCTGAAGCAAGTGACAAGGGAATTTAGATGATAAGTCACAAGCGTATAGGTCCCAGGGCTCAGTCAGTCCAGCAATGCATTAACAGAGGCCAGAGGGAACACAGAAAGGAAGAGACTGGGGGGTGCTGCTGGAGGACTGAATGGAGAGTCCTCTATTCAGGGGAAGAAAGCCAATAGGCCTGGGGGGTCAAGAGAAAAAGAACAGGCTGGAATAGCCCAGGATTATCAGACCCTTAGGGGACCAGTAGACTTCAGGAATGGGGCTCAATACCCAGGAACTCAGATCTTCCAGAATATCCCAGCTTCTAGTGAGGGTACCAACCTGGTGGGGACATCAAGAATCCAGAGGTCAGAGGCCATTGTTATCTCCGTTCTGCCTGAGGTGAGACTACAGAGCCTCAGTGAGGGGGTAGAGGAGGCATCTCCAGTCCTCCTGGCCTCAGAGCAGATAGGAGCAGGGCCATGTGTCATGGATCAGCTGCTGTTGGGAGAGAGCCACAGGACATACCTGCTCCTGGCCACCCTTCCTAGGGCTTTGATGAATCCCATACCTACAGTCTGAGCCTGGGCAAGACAGCCAGAGCGTCTGTGCCTGTAACTGGGCTGGCAGTGGGACACTTGTTTGTGCTAAGTACTGTAGACATAGTACTGAGTCAAGGTCAAGTTTGGCCATGGCCTAGGGGCTCCCCTTGTAGGCTTTGGGGGTTTCCACCATCTACATCTATCACTCTTAGTAGAGTCTTATCCAGAGTGTCATGTAGGCTGAAGGAACTCCTGAGTGCAGGGTCAACTTCCCTCACCACTGGGTCACATAGCAGTGAAGTCAACAGGGCCTTAAGACAGAAGCATCTCTTATTGGAAATCTCCTCTCCCCAACCTGACCACATCATGCCCAAGCCCAGGAAGAAATGGCATCTGGGATTTGGGCTCAGATTCCAAAGGTGGGAAAACAACCAGATAGATTTCCTTGAGCCTTGCCTCTCCCTAGGCCTTACACATTCATTCAACAAATATTTCCTGTCACTTGCCCTGTGCTGGCCTCATGCTAGAATATTCTGCTTGATGGCACTTGGGAGACTTTCCAGGCTGTGGCTGAGCTGCCAGAAGTATCAGGTACCAACAGAGGCAGGGCTGCAGGCTGTCCCCCATGTCCACGTCAACCCAAGCTCTCAGAAACTCCCAGGTAGGACTCACTAGGTCTCCATCCTCACCCTAAAGTGGCCTCTGAGGGCAACAGGCAGAGCCTCAGCTGCGGTGGCTGCTCACGAGGTCACAGCATTGGATGGGGGAAGGAACAAGTTGGGTGTGAGGCCTTACTGAGAGGGAAAGGGGCAAGAGCACTGGCTGCTCTCTGTACCCCATGCTGCCAACCTGCGACCCGTACCTCCTAGGACTCCTAAAGCACCTAGTGATGGTGGCCTGTCTCCAGGGTGGGTGTATGTCAGTGTATCAAGCAAAACTTCTAGGCATGACACAAGCACTGGCTTTCGTGTTTGGAGGAGCTGTGTGCCTGTCTCTGGGGAGCTCTCTGAGGCATGTTCCTTTTCTTGTGTTGCCTCTGCTTGTGCGTTGCTGAGCTGTGGGTGTTGGTGATTTTGAGATCATGCCTGCAGTGTCTTTCAGCACCTGAGTGAGTCCCGAGTAATTCTCCGTCTCTCTCTCTCTCTCTCTCTCTCTCTCTCTCTCTCTCTCGCTCTGTGTGTCTGTATGTATCCCCATGTGTATAACAAGGATTATAATCACAAAAGCACAAAGAGGTGTACAAATAATGTTGCACCTGTTTCCTCCGAGCGACATTAAAGGGAACCTGGGAACCTGTTCCTTCTGTGGAAATCACCCTCCTGGGGCAGCAGATTTGCTTTTGTTCCCTCTGGGACTCCATATCCAGGGTCTTTCGGGAGTCTTGCCCGAGGCAAGACATTGGTCTCTGGGGAGGATGTGAAAGATGCAGTCCTAAATTCATGGCCTCTTGGCCCACAGGGACTCTAAAGGACCTGAAGTCACCTCGAGCCACCAGCAGAAACAAGAGTGTTTGTGGCCTGGGAACCCAGTGTCCTGGCCCATAGAATTGAACACCCATGCACACCTTAAGCTGTTCCTTAAGAGAACACAGGTTCCCTTCAGAGGGCTGACAGACACCCACACCACAGCTAGCTAACGGGGTCTCATCCTTCTTCTATGACTTTGTTTCCCATCTCTTACTTCTGAGGCTACTGGTAGTCTCTGGCAGAGGGGATTCAGATTTGAGGAACACACCCTCAGCACTGCCTAGGGGGCAGCTGTGTGGTGCTCAGAGGCACTAGGAAAAGAGGGAGGGTCACAGAGGACACACAGGAAAAACCAATGCAAGAAGCTGTCCTGGAGATTTATTGCAGCAGATGTGAACCAGGGCCCTGAGGTGCCCTCCACCATGGTGCCCACTCCCACTGGATCCTGCCAGTGTCAGCCTGAGGCCTATCACACCTGCACACAGTCGTGCTTTAGAAGCTGAGTGGTGTTCTTCCAGGGAACGTCAAGGATCTCAAAGTTGCAGCGCAGCTTCTGTGGAGAGAGCATGGTGGACAAGGGGAGGGGGGTGAGGCTGGTCCCCATCTGTCTCCTCTCAGCAGCCAGCCCCTCTGCCTGCCACAACTTGCTGTGGCCAAGAGACAGACAATAGTCCCAGAATATGAAATCAGATAGCAGATCTTTCCAGGCAACTCCCACCCCAAGGAGAAGCCCCAGTCCATGTACTCCACCCTGGCCTATAGATTGAGTCACCCAATGGCCAGATAGGACTGGTCCAGCCAGGCCTCTGCCTGACCAGACAGACTAGTTGGGATGGACAAGCTGAGTGCCTTGGGTTCTGCATGGGGCTGGCCTGGGGCCAGTGCTCTTACCTCCTGCTGCACTCCGGTGGCCAGAGGACAGGTGGTGAGGTCCATGTGATCTCCAGAGACCCTAGTCTTTCTGCACTCTGTGCTCTCCATGTCGACTGTCAGATAGTACTTGATGCCAGCCACCAGCTGGGAACAAGGTAGGGCAGTTCAGGGGTACCTAGGAGCCCAGTCCTGGTGTCTACCTAGTCTTCCTCTCCAAGCCTTCCACTCCCTCAGGCAAATGCAACCCTAGGAATTTCAGGTCTACAGTGGGGGTAGGGGCTCCAGGTGTGACCCAAGCAAGGGAGGAGGCACAGCCCTGGGCCCTGCAGGATGCTGAATTGCCCCTGAAGCTGGAGCACATGGTGGAGACAGGGACCTGATACCCTCTCTGGGCCCCTCCCAACCCCATTTGGCAAGGGTGGTTATGCCGAAGGAGGTTGGAACCTGTGTATCTTTCCGTTTAGCTACACTGTTCTCCATAGATTTTGACCATCTGGCTTTTAAAGGGCATTTCATGGAATGGTTGGCTTAGATGCCCCCTTGTGTTTGCTCGTGGGCCAACCTAGGCTGTCCTCTCTTTCCCCACCAAAGTCACCTTGTCCCACTCCCTCCCTCAGCCACCAGCCAGCACACCTGACTCTCTGCCTTGATGACGTTGGTGTCTCGGAAGTAGTAGAGGCTGTTGCTGCCCATGTTGTAGCTGGCCACAGCCGCCTGCGCGGCCCTCTGCACCCGCGGGTCGTTGGGGGCCAGGTTCTGGCGTTCCCCGGTCCTGCGGCTCCGCAGCTCGGCGCGGGCATCGGGGGACAGCATCAGGAGGCCGAGGGCGAGCAGGGCCAGACCCATGGCCAGCGAGAAGTGAGGTCGCTGCATGCTGCACCAGCCAGTGCCCAGCCCCTGACGGCGCGGCTATTTACGGGCTCCCGCGGCCGCACCCGGCCCCGCCCACCCGCAGGCCTGGACCTGCATCAGGTGCCTGGAGGCGGCTGCACCTTCCTCGCCCCTAGGACCTAAGAGGACAGAGGGGAAAGAAGCACACAGGCACAAAGACCCCTATGTGCATGGATGCTGTCTTATCATCCAGGAGGGGAAAGGACAGCGACAGTCCCTCAGCAACAGGTGCCACTGTTTCATGTGAGGGCCCCGCAGGGTAAACTGGCCATGTGATTTTGGAGAAGTCACTACCTCCTTTTCCTCTTCTAGAAAATAGGTGTTTTAAGGATTCAGTGAACTAACACAGGTAAAAGACCAGGTGTCACACAAACAGAAGGTAGGTAGACAGGAGTCCTTATGATGGCAGCCAGCGCTATTTTACAGCCCTGGTGAGGTGGGAACAGCATAGGAGGGAGAAGTGATTTGCTCAGACAGCAAATTGGCATATGGCCTTTTTTTTTTTTTTTGAGACAGGGTCTCCCTGTAGCCCCAGGTGGCCTGGAACTCCCTAAGTAGATGGAGTTGGCCTCAATCTCCCAGAGATCCACCTGCCTCTACTTCCCCAGTGCTGGGATTAAAAGTGACAGCTATAGCCAGGTGTGGTGGCCTGTGCCTTTAATCCCAGCACTTGGGAGGCAGAGGCAGGCAAATCTCTGTGAGTTCAAGGCCAGCCTGGCCTACATAGTGAGTTCCAGGACAGCTGGGGCTACAGGGAGACCCTGTCTCAAAAAGACAAAAAAAAAAAAAAAAAGGTGACAGCTATATTTTGGTGAATAGTTTTTATTTTATTTATTTATGTTTATGAGTGTAATGCCTGCATATGTGTAAGTGCACCTGTGTTGTGCAATGCCCACGGAGGTCAGAAGAGGGCATCAGATCCCTGGAACTGGAGCTACAGATCGTTGTTAACCAACATGTGGGTAAATCAAACCTGGCTTCTCTGCAAGAGCAGTCAGTATTCTTAACTGCTGAGCCATCTCTCCAGCCAGTGTTGAATATTATAAGTAGGCACCCAGTATACCCATTTCTGAAGCTCCACACCTTTCAGAATGTCAGGGCCTGGTGGTGGTGATCAGACCAGAGTGTGACCACTGCCCCATCCAGCCACCAGCTCGTGTCTTGCCCCACTCAGCCCAGCTATGAAAGACAATTGCCTTAGCTGGGCATGGTGGGTCCCCTCTGTGATCCCAGCACTCTGAAGGCAGAGGCAGAGAATCACTATAAGTGGGAGGCTAACCTGGCCTAAATAGAGAGTTTTAAGCTAATTAGGGCTACATAGTGAGACTCTGTATCAAAAGAAAAAAAGAGAAACTACTGCCTTCTTGGGATTCCAATGAAAGGATGGCAGGTTTGTGGTAGGTTCAAGTGTCTGATTAAAGGAACAGATTCCAATTTTTTTTTGAAGCTGGCTCAGTCTTGACATAGAGCTCTTAGCCATGCAGGGACCTTGAGTTAGGGGATCCTGGGTAAGAGGAGAACGGAAAACACAGGACAGCTCATAGGGGAATAATGGAAGGAACAGTCCCAAGAGATCAGAGAGCCTCAACTCCCAGCTCAGCCACCTCTGCTCACCTGTCATGGAATTCAGTCACAGCAAAATGTGCCTCAAAAATCGGCCACTGGGACAATTAGGGAGATGGCTCAGTTGGTTAAGTGCCTTCCATGAAAGCTCAAGGATCCTGATTCAGAGCCTCAGCACCCAAGTAAAAAGCAAGCAGATCTCTGAAGCTCACTGGCCAGCCAGGCTAGCAGAATGAATGAGCTCCAGGTTCAGTGAGAGACCCTGTCTCAAAAAACTAAGGTGGAAGCCGGGCATGGTGGCGCACACCTTTAATCTTGGTACTCATGAGGCCGAGGCAGGCAGATCTCTGTGAGTTCAAAGCCAGCCTGGTCTACATAGTGAGTTTCAGGACAGCCAGGGCTACACTGATGGGTTCCTACCTTACTGGCACCTTCCCTGCCTGCCACTGTCAATGATTCTGATAAATCTTTGACACTACAATCTAGTAATTTCCAAGGAACTTTCAATTCACTGGCTCCTTCTCACAAGCATTGCTCACATTTTCAAATGCATTATTATTGCTTCTCATTTGTTTGGTCTTGAGACAAGGTCTCCCTGTAGCCCCAGCTGACCTAGAACTCACAATGTAGACCAGGGTGGCCTCCACAGGGATCTGCTTGCCTCTACCTCCCAAATGCTGGTCTTAAAGGCATCAACACCTTACCTACAAATGCATTATTCAGAGTTAATCTGAGGTCATTTGGCTAAAATGATGTCTTCAAGAAAAAGAAGAGTAGGGAAAAGATAGTGAACAACTCCGGGCTCATTCTCACTCTGGCTCTGCGGAGCAGTGGTTATTGCCTCTTCCTACTAAGAAGAAATGGGACCTGGGGCAGCACCCGTGTGTCAGCAATGTCTCGGTATGTGAGCCCCAGGCTGCTCCACAGGGATATGAGATTCCCTGCTTGGAGAGGTCCTCCCTGCAGGTGGGCTGCACCATCTGGAGAGAAGCACGCAGCCTGGACTCCATTGTATGGTCTCCTGAAAAGATCTTGGACCAAGTATGAGCTCAAAATGGGCCATCCCCACTGGCCACAGGGTACATACAGTCTCCAACTTTGCTGTGATCCAGAAAACCCCAACCTAGGTTTCCCACCTAGGCCAGCACACTTCTCTGGGCTCTGGCCCAGTGCGTACGATAAACTAGGTACACCCTCCTTCTCGTTGAGATCAGGCCCGCCAGGCCCTGATTTCTATTGCTTTCCCCCAAATGTTCTTGCTTGAGTTTTCAGGTAGGTGGAGGACATTCCATCACAGGGCTCTGCTCTCTCTCCCAGTCACACCACATCCTGGAAAGGAAACTTTATGGTAAGGACATCTGTGGCCCAACAGTGACTAAAAGACACCTGTGATCTAGCAGTGACTCCACAGAGGAGTTCCCCTAAGTGCCAGAGCCTTTCATTCTGCAGCTGGTTGAAGTGTCCCAGCCCTGCACTGTGGACAGGAGGAGATGAGGCTAGGAGCAGCGAAGCAGATTGCTTCACATCACTGGGAGTTTAGAGGGATTTGCTGGACAACAGGCCTGGCTGGCTCTTCAGCCAAAAACAGTAACAAAGAAAAAACCCTGAACCCTGTAGGGATGGAGGAGCCCAGGTAGAGGTGGACAGATTTGAGCTGCCACTGCATGCCTTCTCACCAGCTGGGCTGCCACCTGGCAGGGTGGGGAAGGTGGTTTGGTATACTCAACCAGGCAGCTCCTGTTTCTTCCTTCCCAGGGACAACTGGAAGGAGCCCTAAAGGCCCTGGGATGAATGGCTTGGTTCATGCCATGCTCTAGACCACATCTGAGGACTGAGGACTGGGAGGCTGAGGGGTCAGGCTCTGTCTGGGTACAGGGATTAGGGACAGGTCCTGTCCCCTGGCTACCAGGCGGGCAGGCTTGAATCGCTGGGTTCTGTGGGACACTAAAATATCCAACTCCTACCCTCCCTGACCAGGCCTGCTCTCCCCTCTAGCTCACCAGCTTTGGGCCCCTTTGGTTTGCCAAATGAGTTAGATTTAGACCTTTTTTTTTTTTTTGGTCTTTTTGAAGCAGGGTCTCTCTGTAAGCCCCAGCTGTCCTGGAACTCACTATGTAGACCAGGCTGGCCTTGAACTCACAGAGATCCTCCTGCCTCTGCCTCCCAAGTGCTGGGACTACAGGCATGTGCCACCATGCCCAGCTTCTAGAAGCCTTTTATCTCCTGCTGCCCCAGGACTGATCCAGGAACTTGTGTGGGTTGAAATATGAAGCCCTGAAAAAGGGTTCATGGCCTGAAACCTGTCTCAGACATGGCCCAGTCCCAAGGGAGAGGTGAGGCAGCAGGTTCCAGCACCTTCACAGATGAAGCCTGTGGGTGAGCCAGGGAGACATGATAAGGAAACAAGACAGCTTGTCACACAGGATCCCACCAGAGTCCTAGTACCAGAGCCAGGAGGGAAAAGCCAGGTAATCAGGGTGAGCTGGCAGCAGGGAAGGGCTTCATGGAGAGGTCTCCATTACGTTGATGGCTCCAACTGCAATGTGGCAGTTAGGGCTGAGGTATGGGCAGACTCTGGCCCAACCAAGCCCCCTGCCTGAGCACACTGGGCCTGTGTGATGTGACAGTCATCAAAAAAAAAGGATAGAAAGACAGGGAAAATTCTGAACACGTGAAGGAAAAGGATTCCCTTATATGAGAGTCTGGTTGAAGCCTTTCACCAATTGAGAATGAAGGATTTCAACACAACATGTGCATAAGGCTTTCTCCCCTCCCAGCTATAAGCCTGCAATATTCTAGGAAGCTCATCAGAAACCCCTTTATAGTGATTTTCTGAAGAAGTCAATACCTACACGTATCAGGCACCAGACACATACTTGATACACTTACATACATGCAGGCAAAACACTCGTACACATAAATAAATTTTTTTTAAAATTTTTTTAGAACAGGTGCCTTAATCCCAGCACTTAGGAGGCAGAAGCAGTCATATCTTTGTGAGTTTGAGGACAGCCTGGTTTACTTAGCAAGTTCCAAGCCAGCCGGGGCTATAGCAAGACCCTGCCTTAAAAAAAAAAAAAACAAAAAAAAAAACCCAAAACTATATGTATGTGTTTTAATAAATTGTGACTTTTTTTTTGGTTTTTTTGAGATAGGGTCTCCTTGCAGCCCCAGCTGGCCTGGAACTCACCTATGTAGACCAGGCTGGCCTTCAACTCACAGAGACCCACCTGCCTCTGCTTCCTGAGTGCTGGGATTAAAGGTGTGTGCCATCATGCCCAGCTTAAACTGTGATTGCTACCCTTGAATTTACAGAGATCCACCTGCCTCTGCCTCCCCAGAGCTGGGATTAAAGGCATGCACCACCACGCCTGGCCTTAAACTGTGGCTTTTTAAGAAGCTCACTCTTAAGCTTTATTTTTTCCCTAGTGCTTTTTTTTTTTTTCTATTTTTAATAGACCCCCAACTCTCCTTC